AACGCAGATTCACACGCTCTGGATTGAACGAGTAACTGAAAGCATATTGCAGGTAGTATGTAATGAACACGTGCCTTTGAATGTTTACTTTTTCTGTCTGTCTGTCTGTCTGTCTGTCTGTCTGTCTGTCTGTCTGTCTGTCTGTCTGTCTGTCTGTCTGTCTGTCTGTTTGTTGGTCTGCCGGTTTGCCTGTGTTTTTGTCCCTAATTTAAGCCTTGCATATCTTTAGAATTTCTCAGGCCCCATCTTGTTTTTGTTTTTTTCACCCAGTCTGTCTTTAATATCATTTGTACGGGGTTTATTATAATGTTTATTAATTGGTGGTTAGCTGGTGGGTGCTCTGGTGTGGTTTGCTCCTTCTTTCCTATCAAACATCTATCGTTCTTGTCTCTCCATTTATTGTGTTTCTGACTCTTTTGTAAAACCGCTAATATTTAGCACTTATATTGACCCAATTGTGCTGTAAGTGCAAAGTTCATTAAATCCCGTTCATTAGTGTCCCAGCGCAACGACCTTTGACATTATTGCCCTTTTTTCTGTAGAAAAATAGCAATTCTTTCGACCACTAACTTGAAATATGATGTATACGACAGATAAATCAATGTGAAAGGATTTTAAAAAAGTATTTTTTTTTAGCTAAAAGGGTCTCTTTTTATGACTGGCATAATTTGACAACAGAAGTGAACTCTAAAAGTCACACGTCAGTGCACCGTGTGATCCTCCTGTGCATTCATCACATCAGTGCATCTCATGTGCATATAGTACCCACATTTTCCTACAAAATGCTGTTTTAGGCACTGGGGAGGGCTTGCTGCAGCTGCAAATTGGTTCTGGCACCGGGATTCACGTCACAAGCAAAGTAGTTATTCCTGTCCCACACAGATGCTCAATTGGATTCAAATCGTTATTCCAGATTTTTTAATGAATTTAATTCCGAGTGGAGTGCACTGTGCGCGGGCGCATTGTTTAGGGGGAATGTCATGGGCAGATTGTGCTGTGTAAAAGAAATGACAGACAGTGCTCACGTGGTCTCCTGTACACTTTTTTTTATACTCCCATCGTGGCGTTCAAATTGGAATTTAGACTCTCTGAGAGGGTGACCTTGTCCCACTACCTTAGGTCCATCGGCGGTGTAGCCGTGGCTAGTTTATCCAGCCTGGCGGTGTTTTGGATGTAAACACAGGGCTGCCTAAATCTACCGATTTTTCCGGTAGATACCGATTTTGGGCCTGTTCTACCGACATACCGATAAGGTGTCAAAACTACCGGATTTTCGATGGGTGCCGAGAGAATAAAAAGAAAAAAAAACATTCTGCAGTGCTTCCATTCTTTGTTTTTACGGAAATCCGTACATTCCTAAAGTTCTGTACTTGCCGCATTACCATATCAATTCCATGCGTTGAGAGAGAGAGAGAGAGAGAGAGAGAGAGAGAGAGAGAGAGAGAGGGGAGATCAGCTCTTGCCTCCGTAACTTGTCAGATATTTACAGCAACTCTCGGCAATCAGTTGTCTTAGAAACTGCCAGATTGCGCAGTTCGTACACTCGTCTACGAGTCTATCTGTGCCGTTCAGTCGGCAATAGTTTTTCACGTGCATATCGGCCGATATCTGTCTACTCACGATAGATAATCTTCCTCCTTCTTTTCATTCATTCTTTCTTTCTATCTTCAGTTGTTTTTTTGCTGCGGCTGGAAAATCTGTGCATTTAATTCATTTATCCAGAAAACAGAATTGGGAATTTAGAAGGAAAATCGCTATCGAAGCAAAACATTCTAAAATCTGTCTTGGTCCAGAGAATCGGGGGCTCCAGTGGCTAAGTGAGTAGTGAGTTTCGACTCAAGCAATGTCAAGCAAGTGTCGGTGACACGGAGATCAAATGGGTGATCACTGGGGTGTGTCCTTGAGCAAGACACGACAACCCTAGCTCAAAAATACAAGGCGCTGCACAGTGGCGACCGACAGTGGCATTGTTTGTAAACTGTTCTGTATTTGTGTAATAGTATGTATGTATGTATGTATTTATGTATGTACGTATTTATAATTATGTATGTATGTTTGCCATTGTAAAACAAAGTGCCCTTCTGGGACAAATAAAAGTGTAATTTATTATTATTATTTATTATTGGTCAGTACCGAAACCAAATCTGCAAAGCCTTCTGAGTTCATATTTTACTGGTCGCGTTTGTGATATTACGTTCGGCTTTCCCCAGTCCGAGAGTACGTTTCGCGCGAATGAGCGGCTATGGCGGCAATCGGAAGTGTAGGTGTAATACTGAGACTCCATTGGGAAAATCAAAATCTACTTTCGCTTTCGTTACCGCTCAGAATTGTCGAATGATAGTCCGTTGACGTTAGATTTAGTTAATACAAATTTGTAACCTGCAGTTTGTGCCTAAAAACATAGTGTAGCCATAAACATTAAATCGATATTCTCACTGATGTCACTATAATGACAAAAAGAATAAGAAAAAGAAAACAAGCGTCCTCCAATTTCTAGATTGTCGGGCCCGTCATCGTGACCGGTCAATGAACCTGTGAGAGTTCGTGAGTACGGCACGAGCAAAGGACCGACCGGTAGTTGTTGGGGAAAGCCTTATCAAAGTTCATTCAAAGTAGGAGCGTTGCAGG